GTGACATTTATTTGTACAAATTGGTAACACGAAAACCAAATGCTTAGAAGTTGTGACACAAGAATGCATTTTTCATATCACTCTAATTGTTGGTTCTCCTAGAAGTGAAAAATCTACTTTTAAAACCTGTAAAAACTCATTTTATTCTTTAACACAACATCTTATATCATAAGATCTCAGAAATTGGTTTCTCAGAACACACCATCGGTTGGTTCTCTAACTATCTCTCAGACCGGAGGCAATGTGTTCAACATAATGGTACTTCCTCCAGTTATTTAACAGGCAACAACGGTGTACCACAAGGCTCAGTCTTAGGACCCACCCTCTTTACAATCTACATAGGTAATGTAGGTCAGAGCATCCCTGATGCATTCTTACATCTCTATGCTGATGACACAGTTGTTTATTGTCGAGCTAAAACAGTTGCTAAGGCTTTCTAGCTTTTGCAATCTGCTTTCGACATCATCCAGTCTGATTTGATCTATCTCAAACTTATCCTAAACACTGACATAACCAAAGGGATGCTGTTTTCAAACAGGAAGTCAGTCCCAGCAGTTCTTCCTTCAATTTTATCCTTGAATGGTGCCCCTAGTGAGTTTGTCGATTCCTACAAATATTTGAGTATCTTGGCTGAATTGCATCTCTTTTTAAAGCTTCATGTTGAAAACTTAGTAAGGAAACTGTAAGTTAAACTGGGTGTCTTTTTCAGAAATAGATCTTGTCTAACTCTGAATGATAGGAAACACCTTGTGACTGTGACTTTCCTTCCCTGCATTGACTATGGTGACATTATTTACATGAACACTCCTACTTTCATTGCAGATGTTGGATGCTGTCTATCATATATAAGATATAAGATATATAAGATTCATAACTGGCTGTAACTACCATACCCATCACTGCACCTTGTATTCACTGGTTAACTGGTCATCATTAACGTCACACAGACTCTCCCATTTGGTACATTTTCATCTTCACTTCTTGGTATGCTGCCTTCATATATCTCCTCCTCATGTCTCTGTATGAGTGCAGCTACAGCGTGCGCTCTCAGGACATTATTACCTGCAGTGTTCCCTCAGTGCGGACTGAACTTGGCAAAAGGGCCTTCTCCTACTCCGCTCCTGTTTTCTGGAATATCTTGCAAAAAGATCTGAGGCTCTAGACCTTGACCTCTCTAAGTAATTTTAAACATCTGCTAAGTTCACGTGAAAAATCAATGTATTTTGTGAACACCGGGCATGTTCTTGTTTTTAGTTTTATACATCACCTTACCACCTAGCTGGATTTTTATTTTTACACATTTATTTTTTTTATTTTTCCAATACCGTTTTATTTTGGTAAAGAAACTGAAAGTTAAACTGGGTTTCTTTTTCAGAAATAGATCCTGTCTAACCCTGAATGCTAGGAAACGCCTTGTATCTGTGACTTTCCTTCCCTCCATTGATTACGGTGACATTATTTACGTGAACGCTCCTACAAGAACCCTGCAGATGTTGGATGCTGTCTATCATGGTGCACTAAGATTCATAACTGGCTGTGATTACTGTACCCATCACTGCACCCTGTATTCACTAGTTAACTGGGCATCATTAACTTCACGCAGACTCTCTCACTGGTACATTTTCATCTTTAAATCACTTCTTGGTCTGCTGCCTTCATACATCTCCTCCTACATGTCTCTGCGTGAGTACAGCTACGGCATGCACTCTCAGGACATTATTACCTGCAGTGTTCCCTCAATGAGGACTGAACTCGGCAAAAGGGCCTTCTCCTACTCTGCTCCTGTTTCCTGGAATACCTTACAAAAACAATTGAAGCTCTCGACCTTGACCTCTCTAAGTGGCTTTAAGAATCTGTTGGACTCCTGGCAGGGACCAATGCAGACATGTTTCTGTTTTTAGTTTTCTACATTCGCCTTAGAATCTAGCTGTTTTTTTGTTTTTTTTGTTACCTTTTTCTTTTAGCCATCCTATTTGTTAAAAAAAACCTGTAGTATGACTTTTTATAACTGTTTATTGTTGTCGCTGTTGTCCATTGTTGTCATCATTCTTTGTTGAAATCAGGTCTCTCTTGAGTCCTCAAGGCTCAATGGGATTTGCCTGTCTAAATAAAGGTTGAATGAATTTTCACTTGTTATTCTCAAGTTGTATGCATCCTATAGTCGTCTTTGTTGTCCACTGTTGTCATCATTCTTTGTTAAAATCAAGTCTCTCTTGTAAATGAGTCCCCGAGGCTCAATGGGATTAACCTGTATAAATAAAGGTTGAATGAATGAACAACTCATGGAACTTAAAGAAAACTTGGGTCTGGACCACACTAAGACAGAAACTTTGCAAAACAGTCTGTTTCTGCCATTTTGGTACCTCTCACACAGTAACAGTGGGTATGTTTACATGGACATAAGTAACCGGATAAAATGGCCGATCGGAATAAAGTGTATCATGTAAACACTCCGTTCGGGTTATTTTTTGTGTATTCGGCGCAATCCGATATAATTTGTGATCAGAACGAAACGGGTGGTTTACGCCGATCCGTAACCAGATGTGCGCATGTAAACGCTTGATCTGTTCGTTTTTATCTGATCGTGAAAAACTGACCTGACTGCGCATGTGCGACTTTGCCATTTCCGCCTGGCTAATGCTAATAATATTAGCATGTCAGGGGAGCAAAACTGGTCGATGAGCGACACAACATTTCTACTAGAAACTTTGAAAGAGCTCAAAATGATCTGTATTACCTGTAGCTCAGTCAGGGAGTGCAGTAACGTCTCCACCATCATTAAAACCTGTCGCGGGTCCATTTTGGGTGCTCAGGTTTGTTTACGTTCACCCGGAAGTAGAACTTCTTCTTCGGTGGTTTTTTTAAGGAGAGTTTACCACTCTGCGCATGTCAGTGCTGCTGTTCAGAACAAAGCCCGCTGCATGTAAACGCTCGTCATGAACAGATTGTGCCCATGTAAACAATACATTTGAATTATTCAAACAGAACACATTTCAATCCGGTCAAAGAATTCTGCGCATGTAAGCATAGCTAGTCATTTTTGGTGAGCAAAACTGAAAATTTACAGAAGCTTTCCAAAGAAGAGGGTTTTTAAAAACTCAAGTTTCTGGTGTTTTTCATCTGTCTTGCTTTGTCTGTTCCTGTCAAAAATAAACGTTGGTCATGTGTTGAAAAAGTTAATTATCAAAAGATAATGGGAATACTTTAGTCGGGGCATTGGAAAACATCTTTCAAAGCTCATGGAAGCTTTGCTTCCTAAATAGTCCATTTTTTTAAATTGCCATTAAAAAAAAGCCTGAACTGTTTTGGTAATTTGTTTCTTGGTAATTAATTTGCTTATTTATTTCTCTTGTGGTCACAAGCTCACATTGTTTTGGCTTTTACAAGTAATGCACTTTTTACAACATTAAATCAATGCTCACCATACTCTTAATTCTTCAGTATATTAAAAAATAAACTTTAATTTTGTATATTTAGCACACACTGCATATTTAGGCTCTTATTTCAACAAAAAATGTTTACATTTGATTAATTTCGAGCCCTGCTGCAGGCCTTTGGGGAAATTCCTGACATTCCTGATATCGGTTTCTGACATCCTGCTAAGCTACCTGTCAGCATCATCACCACTGCTGCGTCTCTGAGCCCGCTGAGAGGCCGAGAAGAATTAATGAGAGGCTGGAAATGAGCCAAGACTCTTCCTGTAACAGCAGGAGGGGCTCTGAAGGCAAGAATTGTAGTCCTCCATCATCAGATACCAGGAGTAAATGCACAATAGCTCAGACACACGGGAGTTTTACATCACTGCTTTCAGATGGAGTCAAACAGAAACACACCTTTATAAACTGTGTTAAAACACCATGCAAGAATGTCCACACTCTGATTGTCTGAAGGTTTTCTCTCTTACAGCAGGGTACCATGTGTACATTGTTTAATGTATTTTGAGTTGTGCTGAATGAAAAGGGGAGGACATGGTGGTGGGGGGGAATAAAAAAGGAGGAATGTGACCGCAGGCCAACAGGGATGATGAGGGACTCTTACAGGAATCTCTCAATTTCCCGTCGAGAATATTTAAGAGTCAGATTTATCACAAAGCCTCCTCTCAACCTCCTTTCATTTTCAGTTTTTCACTTTCACTGCCTCCTTGTGACGTAATAATTACAAAACAAAAAACATCTTGTAGGGCTCTGGAATCATTACAAGACTAACAAAAAGTTAATGATGTTTTTATTTCCCTTTCTGCACAATTATTTCTGAGAAAAACTGGCGTTCCATTTTACGTGGAAACAGAAAATCAGAAACGTACATGAACTCGGGCACATTTACACCTTAAGAAAAATGCAAGCGAATGTTTCCGTAGGACCACACAGTTCAATCTGTGTGTGCACGATCATGGAAGCGCATGTATCAGAGCTTCATATGCACATGCGACGTGCATGCAGACAAAAGATGTGATGCAGGGGCTGTTTGAAGGCCTTTGACGAGGCACATCAGAGCAGTCCTGCAGCAGTCACGCTGGGCTGCAGACGTGAGGCGCATACCGAGGGTCCAGAATGACAAGCCGGATGCTCAGAGGAATGCTGCAGACCTGCCAAGCAAACAGGACAGGCTGCCAGGGCTGCCAGGCTGAAGATCAAGGAGTTTAAACTGCAAAAATGCACCAGCGTGCCACCTCCCAACCTGCCTGCATGCAAACAAAACAACCCCATGTTGTCTTATAGGGGTTTAAAACTACTACAAGATGAAAAATGTGCTGTGTTGAGTTAATGAATCTGAAATTTAGATTGGCTGATTTTAAACTAATACTAAATGGACCTTAAAATGTGTACACACAGCAGGAATTTGTTGGAGTTGGTCTTAATTTAACGTCTGTTTATTGGATAAGAAGAGTTGATCGTAAATGGTTTTCATGTTTTTCTCATTGCAGCACATGAAGTTCTGCTCACAGTAAACATCCTAAATGAGCGCAGCAACTAAACAACACGTAGTGTTTCCAGACTCACCTCGGCTGCCATTTTCATCGTCCTGGAAGAAAAGAAAAGACAGAAAATCAGATCATCGGCGAGATTGTCTTCTTGTCATGAAATTTGTCAAAAACAATAATGGACAGCAATTTCTGAAAACAAAGGCAGATGATTTTTTAAATCTGAACTATTTAAAAAGCCCACTCCAGTTCCTAAAACAGTTATGTTTGAGCTATTTTCTTTCAAAGTAGGGAGCTTTAGAATGCAAACACACTTGTATGACCATAAAAATAACAGTAGCTCCAATCTATTATACTGCCAGTCTAGATTTATTAATAAATGTTCCCATTTTCTATCAAAAACCAACCAGTAACTTTTGACTTATTTCAGAGACGTGTGTGTGCTGAGGTCCTGGAGATTAATGCAGTACTGCACGGGTGTCCAAAGTGCGGCCCGTGGACCATTTGCGGCCCTTTGCGTGAATTTGTGCGGCCCACAACTGCAGTTTAAGAATGGTATCATTTTGGTCAGCAGGCTTAAGAGGTCGATTCAGACTTTCTGCAAATTAGTTGGTAATCCTTTTTTATGTAATGTTTAGGTTTAACAGCAAAACGGATGAAAATCAGTCTTTTCAAAATGAGCAATATTAATCAAAATACAAACCTTTGGCTATAATCATTTTATTTTCATTTCATGGTCCAAAGCACCAAAAACCTTTACTGATTTCCACCAGAAATAAGACTTTTAGATAATGACTCAAAACTTTGTTAAATGCTGCAGTTGATAAAATAATCAAGAGGAAAATTAGACATTTTAAAATTAATATAAAGTGGTATCATCTACATACGAGTTGATCAACTTTATTTAAACCTACTTTGAATCTGTTGTAGCGACTGACAGCTGGACGGTTTTTCAGAACTTCGATCGGCCTTTAGGAACGTCCATGACCCAAAAGGCTGATCAACCACGATTTAAAAGGACACACTCAAATTATGCTTTTGGTGCTGAGAACAGACTAAAATAAACTTCCAAAACACAAGAAAACAACAAACATAGACCCAACAAATCAAATAAATTAAATCATTTTAAATAAAAATTATAAGGGGGGAGTAGTGGTACAGAGGTTAGAGAAGGTGGGCCTGTGAACGGAAGATCACCGGTTCAAGCCCCGGTACCGACAACATCAAAAATGTGGGTGGGGTAGGTGAAGCACCCACACCTGCCCTTACCCTAATTTGCCCCACTCTGGGCCCTTGAGCAAGGCCCTTAACCCCCATCTGCTCCCCAAACTGGTCTCTCTTGAAAATGAGTTCTCGTGGCTCAATGAGACTACCTGTATAAATAAATGGTAAATGAAAAAAAAAAAAAAAAAAGCTTAGTGTTTATGAGGCTTTTAATGTTTTGGATCTATAACAATTTGAAACCATTTCTTCACCAAAATGAGTAAACTTTTGTAATTCTCCAAAATGGTGTTCATGTTGAGAGAAATTCACATTTTTGTGGCCCACAATAGTTTTGGTTCACATATGAAAATGTTTGGACACCCCTACAGTACTGGCACCACTTCCTGAGACAAAAGTACAATTCTCTATTCTTCTTGTTTTCCAAGTTGGACAAAACAGACAAACCAAAGGACTTAAAGGATGTAACTTGCCTCCTTTACAAACTCACATGAGCACCAAAAACAGGAATGATATGATTCAGCCTTTAGCCACAATATGAGATTGACTCAACCCATTAAGTTTTAATGCATTACAAAAAAACAAAAGAAATTAGCCTATGTCAGTTAATGAGAATAATTAACTAAAAATAAATAGTGTTTCTACTAGGCCTGTCGCGATAAACAATAAATCAATTAATCGCATGATGAATGAAAATTATCTACCTCATTTTCATTTACCAGCACGGTGGCGCAACTGGTAGAGCTGCTGCCTCTCAGCGAGCAGGTCCTTGGTTCAAACCCCGGTCCAGGGGCCTTTCTGGGTGGAGTTTGCATGTTCTCTCCGTGCATGCGTGGGTTTTCTCCGGGTACTCCGGTTTCCTCCCACAGACCAAAAACATGCATGTTAGACTGATTGGTAACTCTAAATTGTCCCTAGGTGTGAGTGAGAGTGTGAATGGTTGTTTGTCTCGTTTGTCTCTATGTGGCCCTGTGATGGACTTGCGACCCGTCCAGGGTGTACCCCGCCCCTCGCACAGTGATTGCTGGATATGGGCACCAGCGACCCCCGTGACCCAAAATGGAATAAGCGGGTAAAGAAAATGGATGGATGGATGGATTTTCATTTACCAGCTTTATTGTTCTTCGTGTGTCTCTCTTTCTACTGAAGGAACGGCTCAACTCCGGTGATCTTCACTGACCCCCCCCCCCCCACCCTTTTCTTTTTCAAATCCATTTTTACCGTCCAAAATTGCGTTTTTGGATCGTTAAGAGCAGCTAAGCTACAAGCTAAACTAACAGGCCGACCTTGGGAATAAACTTCTGTCTTGTCAAGATCCAAAATTCACGGTTGAAACCAGTGCCTTCATGTAAAAAGTTGTTTTTCTCTGCAAAAAGAAGCTGAAAACTTGTTTACTGATTATTTATTAAAAGCTTTGTGTGAAAAATGCTATGCTAAAAAGATCAAATCACAGAGTGTGCACCATGTCACCATGCCAGCCCATGTCACGTCAAGGGCTCTCCCTCCCATTTTTCTTAGAGACACTCTGCTCAACTATCCATCCATTGGTTCAAACAGTCTTATACTACCATCACGTGGTCAAAAAA